ACCCCTCGCGCTCAACATCCCGTTGTAAAGCTGTCGCGCAAGGAATCCTTTTGCGAAGGCTGCTACGCACTGATGTAAACTGTGGCGGTCACTGCAGACGCCCAATCAGCAACACCCTTTTGGAAGGTCGCCAAACAACGAATCCCCTTGCAATGCCCATTGCAAAGCGATTCCAACGGTGGGGTATCTGGACCATACAATTGCGAGAATGACTGATTGCCCTCGCCTTTAGCTCTTATTTCCCATGTGAGACCATGTGGTTTTTTGTCATGCACCTGTTTCCGTTTTCCTGGTAGGCTTACACGGCCTCACGGCGATCACAGTGGCGGTTCCGTGGGGCCACAGGAGCTTACCATGAAGAGGAGAAAAACAGAAAACTTGGAAACACCATGTGTTTTCATATGGAAACATCGGGAAGCCAGGACAACGTGTGGCTGCAACTATTCCTGTAGGTTGCCCACACTTAAAATCTTGCAGTAAGATCGCCACATAACGAACGCTGGTGTGCAAAGGCTGCTACGCAAGGATTTCAAGTGTAGCGGCCACTGCCCCGCATGAGAAATCGTGTGTTGTAGTCATCTTTCAAGCGCAATTTCAAAGGATTGCAAGTATGGGGTCTGCGACATAGAAATAGCGGGTGTCACTGGCGCCCTCCTGTGTTTTGCTATTTTCCGCCATGACAACACGTGGTGTTTTGAAATGGTTTCACGTTTCCTCATACAATTCCGCGGCCACACCGCGATCCCTGTGGAGGTCCCGCGACGCCATGGCAACTGAGAAAATCGTGCAAAGCATTAGCAACACTGAAAATCATTGTTTTCACATAGACAAGTAGCACCAAACTAGAAACGTCTGACCAGGTGTGTCGCAATTTGGTGGCATATCCCCCACAATTATAATCCTTTCGGAATATCGCTACAAGAGGAATCCTTGTGTAAAGGCTGCTACACAAGGGTTTCACTTGTGGCGGCCGCTGCAAAAGCCTCATCCCCCCCGGACAGAACATACTGGCGGGTCGGCACACTGTGGATCTTCTTGCACCAGCTACTACACATGACTTAAATCGTGGGAGATCGGCAACATCAGAATAGCGAGAGTCACGAATTCCATCACTCGTTCGATGTTCACCATGGGGACACACATGTGGGCTGTCAAATCCAATCTTCTTTTTCTCACTTGTTGCTGGTAAGGTCCGCGGCCCCACGGTGCTGCCTCTGAAAATTCTTCACAATCAACACCACTTTGCAGATAAGAGGCACATTGATTTCGTGTGTGGTGATTTAGTTGATCTGTTTAAACATCTGGTTTCAATGATGGGGGATATCAATGGCTGCGCAGTGGAAGTCGCACAGCTGGAACCACTTTGCAGATCTGCCCTTACATGGATCAACGCGAAATTACAGCTAGCCTTACACATGTGTACGCGCAGCCGGAAATAGGATCAGTTTCTTACGACAGACCTAATACAATTTCTGGTGTTACTGAGACCCCCAATAAGTCGTCCCACCCCTTCCCTGTGGCACCCTTTGCAGGGATGACTCGGGTCCTGGTAAGTCGTACTGGCTTTCCCTGGGCGGCTTTCAGTGAGTCGGCGCACGGAAGGAGAAATTCCAGAACTTCCATGTCTCCAAAATCTATGAAAATGATAACAATCGCACGGATTGGGATTTCGGAAATGGCAAAACAAATAGCAACTTCGCACGCACCGTTACGTTCGACGCCTCTTAAAAAGAAAGCAAACATCATGCGAGCACCAGTAAAAGCGAGCCACATGCGCAACGGCGCTTGTGTACATGTGCACTGAGCCGATTCCAGCTACTGAACACATGAAGAAACTGGGGGCAACGATCTACAGTTCTCTCAATATAAAGCAAGAGCTGGTTAAACGACTAGGGGGAGCTTGGGGAAAAAGTCTAAAATACACAGGGGCTTGGAAACATAGGTCCATCAGTGTAGAGAGAAAGCTGAGCGTATCAGCGGTGCTGGTTACGACTGAAATTGGGTCTTATGTGAACTCTGCCTGGCAAAACAAAAACCGCAGACGAAGTTTGGATGGGTTCCAGGCGCGGTGTCTTCGCCGTATTCTGAACATTCATCATTCTTATACCCCAAGGGTGTCCGACAAAAATGTATTGCAGCAGGCGGGGGCGATACCTTACATTGGTTAAGTCCTCCAGCATCAAAACATGTGGATTGGAAAACATGGCCGCAGTAGCGACGCGGACGTGCTCCGAAATCTAACCCTCCAACCAGGCAGCGTGAGACCGACGACTGCTGCTATCGCAAGGAAGCGTGGTTGGCGCCCCAGGCGCTAGTGGGCGAAGTCGTCGTACGATATAAGACCACAAGACGCTTCGAATCGCTGACGAACACGAGTGATCCTGCACTCCGCTTGTACTTCGCTGCTCCTCCCCTCTCCCTCCCTGGCTGGCCGTCGGCCACGCGGCCGAGACAGAGCCCTGGCGAACGCCCAGCTCTGGCGATGGCCCCCTCCAGGGTCCCAGCTTGGCGCCCTGCCTGGCCCCGTCCTCTCCTCCTCCTCCTCCCCCTCCTCCTCCTCCCCCTCCTCCTCCTCCTCCTCCTCCTCCTCACCCTCCTCCTTCTCCTCCTCCTCCGCCTCCTCCGCCTTCTTCCCCTCCCCTCCTCCTCCTCCTCCTCCTCCTCCTCCTCCTCCTCCTCCTCCTCCTCCTCCTCCCCCTCCTCCTTTTCTTCCCATGGCGGGCGCCAGCCAACCTCGCCTCTGCTCGTGCATCTTTCAGCGGAACGGTATGTAATAATCTTTTCGCCGTCGGGAACGCCTGTCCCAGGGTGGCTGGAATGTTCATCCCCGTACGGTGGCGCGTCAGGGGATAAACTTTCCAGCCGCCCTGGGACTGGCGCCCCCGACAACGAATCAATTGATGTCATACCGTCTATGTTTGCCCGCTAAATGTTCTGCTTCACAGTCGTGGGGCTCTCTGCATTTTCTGCGTCACAGTCGCGCTGAGTGTTTGCTCCCTCTCGCGTCCAGAGCGGCACCAATGTTTCGCACTCGTCTGCCCGCGAGCCCTGCTGGGGGCAGGGCCCATCAGGAGCAGTATAAGTACAGTGCCATGCGTTGTCTCGCCCACGCGCCAATTGGTGTAGGGTTTCTTTAGAGGGCAGAAATTCCCCCCATAATAAGAACCCCGACAAGCGAAGCCGTTTCGTAAACGCACCCAAGGAAGGAATCGAACAGGGCAGGGCTGTTTAGTAAACGTCCTGGGCCGTTTACTAATAAATTTGTCGCGGGGCCTGGGTGTTTTTCCTCCCTTGATTCTTGACTTGACTTGACTTTGGGTGGTTCTTGGGAGCTTCGTGGTGGTATCGGAGGTCCGTCTGGGGCGGAGGGCCCGACCTGTCGGTTCGAGTTCCCCTCCTCGGGCTTCTCCACGGGCTCTCTTGGGGCGCTCGTGGGCCGTCTTGGGCGCACATGGGGCTGTCTTTTTTGTTTTCTCGCCGCCGCCGCCGCCACCGAGCTGGCGGAGGATGGAACGCAATGAGGACATGCCCCCATCATTCCACGCGCGCCCATTCGACAGGGGGCGCCTCTTCTGGCGCCAGCGAAAAACGTAAGGAGAAACGGGGGGGGAGGGAGGGAGGAGGCAGGAACGGGCGGAGGGGGAGGGGGAGGGGGACTCGGAGGGAGAGGGAGGGAGAGGAGGAGCGCCGAGCTTCTGCCCCCCCAGCTGCGAGGGCCGAATTCAACTTTGAGTGGAGGTCGTGCCGGTTGGAAACATCGGGCACGATCCATCAAAACGAAGTAGCGAATTCCCGTAAGTACGGGAAGCTGGACGGTGTCGGAGATTAGAGAGGAGTCCGACCTGCACCGCAAAGCCTTGAGCCTCCGAGCCCGCGAGGCGCGCGCCGGCAACGCGCTCCCCGACCGTCGGCTCGAGGAGGGACAAGATGAGGCACACTGAGCATCGTTTAGACATCCCTATCCCCATGCTCCTCCTCCTCCACTTCCTCCACCTCCTCGTCTTCTCTCTCTCTCTCTCTCTCTCCCTCTCTCTATATATGTATCTATATACACACAAGATTGAATTGGCGCTTCGCGCCATGCGCCTTGTTCCGGACGCTTCCCTGGCAAAGCAATACATCATCGCTTGCTTCAGCACCGCACCTCATGGGAGGAGGTGAGGAGAACAAAAATCGCCTGGATGTTCATCTGCCACCTCCAAAGTTTATCCCTGCCCATCCCTTCCTCCTCCTTTCCTCCTCTTCCGCTGGTTGAGTCCACCCTTTGAGGAAGTAAGGAGCGTTCCCATGACACGCCGACGAAGTCACAGCAGCTCCGAACAATTGATTTTTAGTCGCTTCCTGCATGCCTGGAGGGCGCACTCAGGAAATCTTCAATCGTCGAACGTCGAATCTAGATCCATCGCCTGTCTTTCTCGATCGAGGAATTTTAACCTCGAGCCTCAAGCGTGAAACCAAGATCGTCGGGTCAGCTCGATGTACTTCGTAGGAGAACGCAGTCTGGGCGTTTTTGGTGCTCTTTGGGGCCGTCCTGGGGCCCTCTTGGGCCGTCCTGGGGTCCTCTTGGGCCGTCCTGGGGCCTTCTTGGGCCGTCTTGGGGAGCTGGGGCCCTCCAGGGGTTTTCTGAAGCCATCTAGGGCCCTCTTTCTTGGGGGCCTCCAATGGCCTTCTCAGGGGTCTCCCATGGCTTTCGTGGGTCTCTCTTGGGAGCCTTCTGGGGGCATCGTGGGCTTCTTGTGGGCAGTCTCGGGGCTCTCTGGGGCAGTCTTGGGGCCCTCTTGGGCCGTCTTCAAACCCTCTGGGGGGCATCTTGGGCCGTCTGGGGGCGAGGTCGGGGGCCCATCGGGCCATCTTGAACGCTGCGAAACCTCAAAAAGCGGATCTGTTAAAAGTACACATTTTCCGAAGGGAATGAAGCGATGTTTGCTTTTTCAGGAGCATCTTAACGGCCTCTTGGGGCGTCTTGGGGAGGCGAGAAAAGCTCAGGCGGGAGCCTCTCCCTATGGGTCCTGCACTTCATGTTGGGTCGCAGCCACCTTGCGTCCGACCTGGGGGTGGCAACCCATCCGATGACGATGATGATGTTGACGATGTTGCTGATGATGATACTGATGGTGATGATGACGCCCGCAGTCTGACTCGCATTGCTCGTACGGCCAACAGAGAAACCGGGCGGTCGGGCAGGCGGGCGGCGGGGATATCAATAGACTCCTTAATGGATTTCTTTTGCAGCGGGAGCCTGTTGAATACTGGGCGCTGTCTTGGGGACGGAGGCCGCTCGGACACGGAGGTTGCGTACCCGCTTCCCCTGGAAGCCGACACTAGCTTCACGTTTGTGGGGGTTGACCTGTTGCCCCAGCTCGACGGCACGATCTGCACCCGCCCGTCCACGAAGGCGTTGGGGGCAGGCACGGGTTGCATGCCCTTCTATAGCTACGTCCCCAACTCCATCAAGCGTGGGCTCGTGCTCGGGGCGGTCTCCAGGGTACGTGCTTACACACGCCCGCTGGACTCCGTGGAGGGCGTCGTTGCGTCCTTCAAGCGTCACCTGCATGAGGGCGCTGGCTACCCATTGCTTGCGCTGGAGAAGTGGATATCTGAGGGATTGTGCCGGGATTAGCGCCCGTACTTTGTGTCGCTGTGGTTCTGGACATAGGTATGTAATTGTTGCCTACTCCGCGCGTGCTCTCCCTCTTCGTCTTCTTCTTTCCTCCCCTCCTCCCCCTCCTCCCTGCCCTTTTCCCCTCCTCTGTTCCCTCCTTCCCGCTCTCCGCTTTCTCTCACGATGTTCTATCGGTGACGAGTGTGCCACGAACTGCCACCAGGTTACTTGGGCATGGATTTTCCTAGGCATTGGCGGATACGTCCGTGGTGTGCTGGTTCGGCGCATTTGGGTTTTCCGGCCTGCGGTGATACAGCCGTCTGCCCGGGCAATAATTGTCACAGGTGACCCCCCTGTGGTTGAAGTCAACCCTTTTCGTTCCCCTGGGGGGTGGGTCTTCCGTGGGGGGCTTCGTCGGGATTTTGCACCCCACGGGAAGGGAGAGGGAGGGAACGGGATTCTTCATAGCCTTCAATTCAAATCCCCACGAACCTCGGGCAGTACGTGCGGCCCGGGGGGAGGCGGACCGCTCACCCATCCCACCACCATACAGGGGAGGTGAAGACCCTGTGAGCGGGACGGGGTGGGCACAGGGGGGCCACCAAATGGCATCCCGCACCCAAGTCGTGGCCGTCATGGGCCTCTTCTTGGGATGAGGCACCAATCGGCCTCTCGGATGGGCACCATACGCCCGTCCACAACCAAAGGAAGCGCACCATTTGCCTTCCGCATATCTTTGGCAATTGATTGCAACACTCATGGACCTTTTCATTTGTTACTTCAACCTCTCTCCAGAATCGATCCTGCCATCCCTCGGGGACTGCGATCTGCGAAACTCTTCTGGTACTTTCGAGGGCTGCTGGGGGAGCCAACATAATGAGGACCTGCCGCAGATCTGGGGGGGCTGCGATCTGCGAAAGCATCGCCACTTTCGAAAGCTGCTGGCGGGGCTGGCATAGTGGGCACTCGCCGCAAATGCCGATTAATTAGACCTCGCCATCCCTGCGGGGCTGCGACCCGCGAAGCTGTCGCTACTTTTGAAGGCCGCTGGAGGGGCCAGCGAATTGGGCACTCGCCGCAAATCCAAAATAGAGCTCGCCATCCCTGGGGGCGGGGGCAACGTAGTGGGTACTCACCGCAGATCCAGAATAGACCTTGCCATCCTTGCCGTCTGCGAAACTGTCCTGGGAGGGCCAGCAGCGCGGGCACTCGCCGCAGATACAGAATAGATCTCGCCATCCCTGGGGGACTGCGATCTGCGGAACTCGCGGGGGGGGGGACATCATAGTGGGGGCTCGCCGCAGATCCAGAGTAGACCTCGCTATTTCTGGGGGGCGGCGATCTGCGAAACTGCCGCCACTTTCGAGGGCTGCTGGGGGGTCTGGCAACGTGCGTACTTGCCACAGATCCAGATTGGACCTCGCCATCCCTGGGGGGCTGCGATCTGCGAAACTGTCGCCACTTTCGAGGGCCACTGGAGGGGCCAGCGCATTGGGCACTCGCCGCAAATCCAAAGTAGAACGCGCCATCGATGGGGGGCCTTGGCCGGCGACGCTGTAGCTACTTTCGAGGGCGGCTCGCGTGCGCTTGCCCATCGGTTTGTGATTTCGCTGCCGCTCTTCGAGGCTGCCCATCGGACCCTCTGATCACTCCCGACTCTAACCATGAACAAGGCTCGCGCGCCCTTGCCCTTCGGATTGTGATATCGCTGCCGCCCTTCGAGGTTTCCCATCGGGCCCTCTGATCACTCCGGACTCTGCACCACGAGCAAGATTCGCGAGCGCTTTACCATGGGACTGTGATATTGCTACCGCCATGGAGGTTGCTTATCGGGCCCTCTGATCACTCCTGACTCTTGAGCACGAGCAAGGCGAACCGACTTTGGGGGGTTGCGATCTGCGAAACTATCGCCACGTTCGAGGGCTACTGGGGGGGGGGCCCAACATAATGCGGTGCTACTCAGATCAGACTAGGCCTCGCCATCTCAGGGGGGCTGCGAACTGCGAAAACGTTGCCACTTCCAAGGGCTGCTGGGAGGTGCAGCTTCATGCGGCGCTACGCAGATCAGAGCGAAACCTCGCCATCCCCGCGGGGCTACGATCTGCGAAACTGTCGCCACTTTCGAGGACTGATGAGAGGCCAGTTTAGTACGGTGCTACGCGGATCAGAGCGAAACATCGCCATCCCTGGTGAGCTGCGAATTGCCATATTGTCGCCACTTTCGAGAGCTGCCAGGGGGTCCAGCTTAGTGCGGTGCTACGCGGATCAGAGCGGGACCTCGGCATCCCTGGGAGGCTGCGCTCTGCGACACTGTCGCCGCTCTCGAGGGCTGCTGGGCAAAGGGGACCAGCTCAGTGTCCTGCGACTCGTGCAGTTTGCGAGCCTTCCAAGTGTCGTTCGCAGAACCATATACCTCCTTGCCACGCTATCAAAGTATAGAACGTATGCCCAACTATTATGGCCATGAATTGCGCAAGGATTGGGTACGTTGTCAGGGTAAATCTTTGCATCTTCTTGTGAAGCCACAAAGTTGTTGCAAAATGTCCCGTTGTCATGGTAAACTTCTGCGGCCCCGCGGCGAGATGTAATTCATGATGTTCACGAACGTCTATATCGCTAACGTTGTGTGGCTTTACTGAATGACCGTAATGATGTTGGCTGTCTTCTTGTACTTCATGATGACTGTTACCCAGATGCTCGTGTTCACATTCTTGCTCATGATGATGATAAAGAGGCTCCGACGCTTGCTTGCTGACGACATGGGTCCCATGGGGCTCCTTGAGGTCCTGGGTGTCTGGCCGAGATATATGAAGACGGGATGCACCAGGCCAATGAGCAGGAAGCGTTATCATCAAAAATACGAGAGGCCTCGTCCGCCGCCCCGTTAAGCTCACTCGGGATCCAGCGGACGATGAGACGGATGTTGCGAGCTAGGAGGTACGCATTGATGCGTCTGATGACTGCCAACATCGAGAACTCTTTTGATCGAGACCGACAGATCGACAGCACGACTCCCATGTTGTCGCGAAGATGCACGTGCCTGATGTCGTGGCCCCACCGCGACTGGGCGAGGCGGCGCACCGAGGCCAGGACTGCGCGGGCTTCCAAAATGGCGATGCCCTCAGCCCTATCCCAGGTCCCGCTGCGGCGGACGGCCCAGCGCCCCTGGTCCAGCCACCCCGCCGGCACTTCCTCGAAACTCTCGTCGATGGCCCAGGCGCCGTCCGATGCCTCCTCGGGCGCCGAGGGGCGCCAAGGACCGGGGCCGTCGTCATCGACGAAGCCCGCATGCCGCGTAGCACGCTGCCGTGGCGCCAGCTCCAGGTCGAGGCGGAAGCGGCTCCGCTCGACCACGCGCCCGACCCGAGCGACTTCCCTGACGTCCACCATGGCGGAGGCAACGCCGAAGCCGCTCTCGGACGCGTCCGACGCCGTGACACAGCGGTTCCAGGGCAGCGCCGTGTCGCTGCTGAGGAAGACGAGGAGGCCCCGGAAGCAGCTGAGCCCCTCGCGGACGGACGCCCACATCACCTGCCGCCCCCAATAGTTGGCCTGCACGAAGGCGCAGCAGGCAGAGAAGACGCAGAGCACCTCTCGTCTCACCGGGCCCGCGTACGTGCAGTGGCCCAGCAGGCACTCCAAATCCTGGCCCGAGAGTCTGCCCCGCTGCAACGCGTAGGCCAGAGCCCTCTCCAGGCGGCAGCGCCGCTTGCTGGTGATGGAGGTACAGAGGCGCTCACAGTCCACGACGACGCCGAGAGCCGACCCCTTCCTCTCGAAGAACTCCACCTCATGGATGTCGAGCTTCATCTTGTTGAAGGCCGCCACCTTCTCGTCCAGCGCCCTCTTGACTGCACTCGCGCCCTGCCCCAGCACGCCCAGGTTGTCCACGCGCACGTAGTGCCAGGTCCTGCTCGCGAGCACCGCCCACTCTGAACACCATGGGCTCGCCGCGGTCGGTCGCGAGCCGAGCCTCCCGCAGCAGGTCGCACTGCCTCGTCAGGTTCGCGCTGGCGTTCTGGCAGAAGTACAAAGACCACGAACATCCCATAGGCAGGGCTCGGCAGCAGGGGTACACCACATCATCGCCGCTTGCCACGCGGCCCTCCACCGTCTCCACTGAGTCCAGGCGGAGCTCGCTAACAGTCAGGGCGGGGAAAGCGAAAAGGGGGCTCATCCAGGGCGGCATCACCATCCTGGGAAAGCAGTTCTCCACGTCGCCAACGCCGAGGCACAGGCGGAGCGCCCGCAGGATGCCCCAGCTCGAGTCCTTCAGCAGGCACGGGTCGCCGTCCACGGCGACCTCGAGGCGCGAGAGGCCCTCCGCCGTCAGCAGGTCCACTCGAGGTGGAGGCAGTAGCCGTTGGTTGGTAGGGCGTGCATCTGTAATCATCCGCATCTTCTGCCCCCCCTTCTTCCAGACGAAAAAAGCTCCGACAAATTCAACAAGCTCCGACGTGCATCGCAGCATGCCACTGGAATGCAGCCTCTTCGTGAATCGAACCAATAGCCGCCTACTCTTTGTGAACGCTGGGTCCAAGTGGGGCCGCACTGGATCGCTCCGTCGGAGGCGTTGAAAATCTGGGACACTTCGTAGCATCCGCTCTCCACAACCCTCCAGAAAACGTCGGCCCTCTGCGTCGAGAAGCCGCCCCAGGCGCGGGGCGTCCTGGGCGCTCTCCGGCAGTGACACGAGCCCGAGCTGGAAGGGAGCTATGTTCGGCTGGCCCGGCTCCTCGTAGGACCCGCGACCTCGGAGCAGCTCTAGGTAGGCCGCTCTCGGCGAAGGCGCGTCAGGCACCGGCTCCTGGGCTCGTACCAGTCCATCGATGCGCGCAGTCACTTCGCTGCGGATGTCCGCGCCATCGCCGCTGCCAACTGCAGGCGAGCCGGCCGCCTTCACCAACCAGTTCAGGGCGTCGATAGCCCTGTTGATCAGTCGGATGCGCAGATAGCGGCCTCGCAGCCCGCGGCTAAGACGACCGCCTCCACACGCTGCATGTGGCTCCTTCAGCCGCGGCAAAGGGAACAGATGGCGTTCTCCGCGAGAGGCTGGAAGGCGCCCAGCACCGGGCCAGGTCAGCTGCGCGCCGAGAGGGGGCCCACTCCCCTCGGCGATCTCCTCGCTCATGATTTCTCGGCGGCCGCGGGGCCCCCGGCCTCGGGCAATCCGCCCCTGCCACGCCCGCGACCGCCGTCGCCACGTCCTCGTCCTCGGCCCCTTGGCCCCTCGCCGCCAGTGCCCTCGAGCGCGTCGTCACCGCCGGCTCCGCCGCCACCTCCAGGGAGGTCGCGGGCCCGCTGGGCCCCCGTCTCTGCGTCGGTCTCCTCCTTCACCCGCCTCGCGCCGTACTGCCGCAGCTCGGGCGCGATGGCATCAGCCGCCGCGGTCACTCCACCGTGGAAGCTGCCCATCTGCCAGCTCGGGGCTCGCCCCGGGATCCTGTGCGCATCTAGGATGGTCTTGAACCGTCGCGCCAACATCTCGGAACTGGCGAGCGCGGGGGCCCTCAGCTGGTCGAAGGAGGGGGCGTAGAACATCATACCCACGAGACAGTTCGGCTCGAGCATCACCTGATCACTCGCGTCCACCTGCTTTGCAAGAGCCCACAGCTGCAGCCACGGACGCGGGTCACCACCCGCCCTCTCGATGTACTTCATCACCTTCAAGTCCGTCGAGGGGCCCTCGAGGGGCCAATGCTGGTCAGGCACGTTGAGGCTCTCCTGCACTGCCCTACGGTATGGCGTGTACCTCACGCCCTGCTCATCGTAGTCGCTCCACCGCGCGCGAGCGCCCTTTGCCACTGGAGGCGGCGCGGCCGTGCCACCGGCGGAGCCCGCACCCTCGGGCGCCTTGGCCGGCGGCCCAGGCGTCGGCCCCAGGGGAGGACCCAGTGGAGCTGCCCCCGCCGGCCTCAGCTGACCCGCCAGCTCCTCTCGGCGGGCTCGCACGAACTCGCCCCCCTCCATGGGGGGGCTGAGCTCGGGCCGGCGGCACTGCCCCCGACGGAGGATCATCGCGTCGTAGTCCGACAGCCTGAGGCCGCCTGGTCCCAGCACCAGCTCGTCGCCGAGGTCGTCAGCGCGGCCGCCCTCCATGAGCACCCACGCGTGGCCACGCGGCATGTCCAGCGGCCCCGCCTGGGGATACGCTGGGCTGGCGTCGTCGCCGACGGCCGCCAGCGCAGGGGCCGCGCCCGCGTCGGAGCCGGCAGCCTCGTCGCCCGGGGGCCCGTCGTCGGCCCCACCCGCCGCCGCCGCTGAGCCGCGGCGGAAGGGGAGGCGGCGAGGCAGGGAGCGCCCGCCGAACAGGAGGCCAGCGGCACCACCTCGCGATTGGGCATCACCACGTCCGCGACCTCGATCGGCGGGTCACCCGCCGCGGCACCGTCCTGCAGGGCCGGGCGGACGGCGGAGGGTCGGCCCTCGCGGGCGTACCCCTTCAGGGCGCCCAGGTCGAGCGCCTGCTTGAACCTATAGGCGGGCTTGTCGAGCCGGGGAAGACGCCCGCATGAGCGCAGGCCGACGATCCGTACGACCCAGCTGGCGTGCGTCTGCGGCCACGGGGCCACCCGCTCGTGGCAAGCGTCGCCCCCATCGTACCGAATCAAGAAGGCAAGAAAGACTGGGTGCTTCAGGGGTCGGTGGGTGCACGACGACGACGGCGGCGGCGGCGGCGGCGGCGACGACGACGCAGCGCGACACGGGACTCCATGGGGATCGCTCAGGGGGACGGGGGGGCAAAGGAATTGTTTCTGGAAGGTCCACGGGGCAATCTCCCTCGCGCCTGGAAGCTGGGCCCCGCGGATGGGCTCCTGAAAAAAGAAACTCACCCCCCGGCAGGATCACGAGAGCGCTCTCGCCTTCGCCGCCTGCCACTCCCCCTCGGTCAGGAGCCCTTGGTCGCGCATCTCCGTGAGTTCCCGCAATGCCGCGGCCAACTGCGTCAGAGCGCGGGCTGAGCCCTTCACGCTGCGCAGCGGCGCAGGTGGAGCCACCGCAGGGGGCGCGGATGATGACGCCGCGGCGCCGCCCTCCGCGGCCGGAGCCGCCGGAGGAGACGCGGATGATGAGGCGGCGGCGCCGCTGTCCGGCGGCGGCCGCGCCGGAGGAGGTGGCGCAGCCACGCGGGTGTCGGCGCTGGCTGCGCGCGCCTCCACAATATCGATCACATGTTGCACGGGCGTCAGATCATCCTTGGCACTGGCTGGGACCCTTTTCCCTGTGACCAACACGTGCGGCGTCCCGGCCTTGGCGATGAACCAGTGGATCCGCCACCGCGCTGACAAGCATCGGATGGGTATTGGTAGTAGTAGTAGTAGTAGTAGTAGTAGTAGTAGTAGTAGTAGTAGTAGTAGTAGTAGTAGTAGTAGTGGTAGTAGTAGTAGTAGTAGTAGTAGTAGTAGTAGTAGTAGTAGTAGTAGTAGTAGTAGTAGTAGTAGTAGTAGTAGTAGTAGTAGTAGTAGTATGTTCTTCACCCAGCGCTTATAGTTGTGGCGGTCCATGAGCCATAAGTCCTGTTCGTACCTCATCAAATCCTTCGTGATCTTGCCAAGGCCTCGGTCGATGACTTGCCAGTGCTCTGTCATGGAGCAAGGGCCATGCGCAATGTTGTGTCGAGCTCCAGCACATGCGTCAAGAAATTCTTGGCACCTTTGAGAAGCCAGCGAGTCGCAAAGCCCAAGGGTTTCCTGGAGAACGCCATCCACGACATCCGCCACCGCGCCGCAAAGCACGAATGTGACCATAGGGCGTAATACTACCCGAACAGTGCTCACACATAGATTGTCCTTGTCCTACGCATAGGATCCGCGCCCCAAGCAAGGGGCAGTATATAGAAACATGCGTAAAACACATGCGATTCGAGGCACATGAGAAGGGCAATGTGAGGGAGCATGCGTATTTTGCATAGGATCAGGCCCAGAAGAGAGTCACTCTACGTATAAGCACATGCGTAAAACACATAGGATTCGAACCGGAGGATAAAAGCGGCGCGCCGCAGGCGTCTCGGATAGTGCCGATTGAGAAACGGGACCATCTGCTGCTGGAAAGTCTGGATCATCGTGGGGCTGTCCATCCAGGCGCACTTCTGAAACAAAACGACGACCCTGTCGTCGTAGGCCCGGCGCTCCTCCTGGGCGATGCGGCCCTGCCCGCGCAAGAGGATCACTCCTGGAGGATGTGGCCCTGCTGCCTCCCCACAGACAGCGATGTGCAATGTGCACTGTCTTTTGCGCAGCCCGGCAGCAGGACATGCTAGCTTGACGTGTTTGCGCTTTCGCTCCGAAGCATGGGCCCACGTGCGCTTCTCGTCGTCTAGCACGAAGGCGCATGGCACTTGGTCGAAGGAGAACCTCTGTCTCAGTGGAAACCGGCCGAACACGTGGTTCCATGTATCCGCCAACGTGCCTGGGAACGTTGAGGCGCGGGGGAATGCCAAGTGCTGTCTTGTGCGTGACCCATGACGGTGGACACGTGCCCCATGAAGCCCGCCTTGTTGGTGAACCCGCTCTTGCCGCAATACTCGCACTTGAACTCTGTGGTGGGTGGCGGGGGCGGGGGCTCAGCCTGCGTCCACACCTGTCCTTCCGAATCGACTTTGACCTTTTTGATGCCCATTGAAAACAAAGTTCTGGTACCTGCTCCACGTTTCGTCTTGGCGTTCCCTTTCTTTGGCGGTGTCATGGCAGCAGCGGCAACGCGAGCTTTGGCAGCGCGCCTCAAACGAGAACCCATTGACGTTTCCGAATCCTGTCGTCGAAGAACCCTGGAAGAAGAGGCCGCAGGCATCCCTCCGCGGAGGCGGAGCACCAGTTCAAGGCAAGAGTGCCGCTGGATGTGGTAATGGTCGAGCTGCTCATCGTCCTCCATCTGCTTCCCAGCAAAGATCAAGCGCTGTATGTCCGGAGGGATCCCCTCCCTATCCAGAATCTTCGATTTGACGGTGCCGACTGTGTCATGGGGTTTGACGTCCAGTGTGATAGTCGCGCCCGCCAGCGTCTTCACGAAGATCTGCATCGCGCCATCGGTGGCGCCATCCGCTGCTCTAACACCCGCTGCGATGCCAGAAGGGTTGCGAGTGCCGCCCTGCGCGCCCAGCTGTCCCTCCCAAGCCGCCGTGTCGAAGTTCTCCGCGCTACCACTGCCGTGGCCCATCGTGGCAGAAGGAGCCGCGGTATGGATGATGAAGTGCCCGCCGCCGTGGTCGAGCTCCGACTCGCGCCCGCCGTCCTGGTGGAGGAAGGGGTTCGGATGTGGGAGGAAGGAGTAGGAGGAGGAGGAGGAGGAGGAGGAGGAGGAGGAGGAGGAGGGGGAGGGGGAGGTGGGAGGGAGGAGGGCGAGCAGGAGGCGGGAGGAGGTTGGAGGTGGGAGGGTGAAGGGCAGTTGC